AAAAAAAACAACTCATATGTTATTGTTGAGAAGAGCTGCATCGTGTTTCGAATTTTAACCCAATAGGAGTTGTATCAACAAATTTTTGTATTGGTTTATTTATGTTTAGCTGGATGGATCGTAATTGGAAACTCAAACATGCTCTTCTTCGTTGTAAACACTTTGAAGAACAAAGTAAAACTGCTATCAATTTATGGGCCGAAATAGAATCAATCTTCAAAGAATTCAATCTGGTATTTGGTGATACTCCAATAACAACTGATAATGGTGCTAATATTAAAGCTTCATTAAAAGATGAAATACGTCTTCCATGCATGGCTCATTGCTGTTCAACAACCTTGGAGACTGCATGGGAAGCTACAAGAAATGGTTGTTTTGAATTTGATCAATTGATTATTTCTGTATTAGAATTACGTTCTTATATTGCACGTGCAGGCAATATCCAGCAATTTCTTCCAATGACGATAAAAAAAAACAGTGTTACACGACCATGGAGATCATATTATGTGGTTTATCAAAGCGGTGAGACCGAATTTTGCATCATAAAAACTCAGAATTCATAATCAATTTTTGAAGGTTTATTGTAAAGTATCGTCTTAGTTATCTCACAATGAATAGATATAATACTTAATACTGATAAATCATTTTCAATTGTAAAGGGCAAAATATGTTTTTTTTTTTGGAAAATTATTCCTACACACCTAGATAACAGCAAAAAATATTTTCTAGACACGACTCTTATGGTATGCCCAAGTTGCTGGAGTTTTAAAATTTTATTCTTTATATTTTAGTGTTGGTTTCGTACGACAAACTTGTTGATGTTCTTTCACCAAGTTTCGAAGAACATCGAATATTATCAATAAACAAAAACTTACTTGCTAGTGTAGTAGATTTGATGAAACAATTTGTGCCAATTTTTGATGCATTGGAATTCAGTAAAGCACCTACGATACATATCGTAGTTCCATCATATTATGCGATGATGAAATTAGTGCAACTCAATGGACAAGAACGACCTACAATTAAACTTCTGAAAGAAAATATACAAAGTGCTCTCAATGAAAAGTACGTTACATGTAATTATTCTTTGACAACACTTTTATCATTATATCTTCTTTTATAACTATAGTATCTCATTAATTTGAATATTCATCTCATTTTCCTAAGATAGAAAGCAATATTATTAACTCTTCCTAATTGGAGTAACATTCCACTAAATAATATCTATTTTTATGAAACAAAACATGAAATAAATGTATCTGGCACTTTTATCTGACACAATCTATTGATGTTTTGTCTTATGAAATTTGCAATTCTGATATGAAGATTCAATTGAATCTTTTATGAAATGTAATTCTACAGATCCTTCTTTTACATTTTCAGCTTAGTCAGACACATAGAACATGGTTTTTTAAGATTTGTCTACATGCGGAATAAATACTATCTCATTTTGAATTGAAACAAAATAATTCAGTTGTATGATACAAATAAAATAGTCGCTCCAAAAAACACTTCCAAGCTTAATTATTTATTAATCGAATTGAATTCTTTTCATTTAGTAGTTAATGTATTTTTTCTCTAGAGCAACATTAGAAACTGTAAGAAAACATTTTTTAGTGAATGAAAAAATCAGAGTAGCACCGCTCGTTATGCCAGATTTATTCTCAAATATTGTGAATAAGAACTCAACCCATAAGTCATATTTCATATAGTGTATGATTATGAGTAAGCTGTTTTTTTCAACTCCTTCAATTCTAAGGCTATGAATGAATAAGTAATCGCAAGTGATTGTAACGTAAAAAATTAAATCTTTTCGTAGTGTAAATAGAAAAATTATGGAATTTTTTATGTACAACTTGTAATAATGAAATAAAATAAGAAAAAGAAATAAAATGTTAAGTTTTTGTTGTTTCTTTCATTGGTGTATATTTCACACGAATTACTTTGTTTATCATCAGCATTATTGATCAGTATCATGATAGTTGCTTAATTTGATTAGTGTAAATAGAAAAATTATGCAAATTCTTTACGCATAACTTTTTAATGTAATAAACTGTAGAACAGCTCGTAATAATAAAATAAAAATAAGAAAAAGAAACTAAATATTAATTCACAGGTTCTATTTTTTTATTATACTGAAAAGTTATGCATAAAAATATTCCATAATTGTTTTCTTTTTAAAATAGAATCCAGTTAAACAAGTATTATGATACTGATCAATAATGCTGACGATGAACAAAGTAATTTATTCGAAATATTCGTCAATCGAAGAAATAACAAAAAAATAACATTGAATTTCTTTTTTCTTATTTTGTTTTATTGTTAAACGTTGTTCTACACTTTATTATAAATCTTTTTCTATTGATAATATCATATTTTCTTTTAGATATTGGGAAAATATCATGCAAATTCATTGGGTAGGAACATATCTGGATCCATCTTTTCGTGATCTTTCATTTGTCACGGATAAATCTTATAAAACAACTCAATTAAAGGCAATAAAGGATGGATTAATCATTATGGCTGAAGATATAGATCGTGAACGAAATGATATTAATGATAGTTTAGTGAGTAAAAATAAACATTCAACCAGTCATGTGTTTCAAAGAAACTTTTAGATTGATCATCAACCACCATTAAAAAAAAGTCGAACCGAAGGATTTGCTGATCCATTCGCACAATTAAGAACGTCATCATCAGAACCTGAAAAATTAAACGTCAAAGATGAACTTTTAGCTGAACTGTCTCATTACAGTAAACTTTCATATTCAAATTCGAACAGTAGTAATAATCCAACTTTAATACTACTCGATTTTTGGCGCACGAACGAAACAAAATTACCATTACTATCTGCAATCGCCAAAAGAATTCTTGTCATCCAAGGTTCAAGTTCCGAATCGGAACGTCATTTCTCATCTGGTGGTAATATAGTATCTGAAAGACGTAGCCGAGCTAGTGCGTCGACTGTTGAATCATTAGTTGTTCTCAGAGAAGCTTTTATAAATGGTCAATGGCCAGACTCATCTGGTGAAAATGATAAAGAAAAACTTGAAACTGAAAAAGACAACACAATGTTTACACCTGATATTATTTCATTATAGATTATTTAAATTGGATTAATTAGTATTTTTGTTTTTTTTTGTTGTGTAACTGCTTTATGTTGCATAATTGCTTTATGAAAATAGCGTTTTAGTTTATAGGACTATATTTCAAGAAATTTCATGAAATGATATTTCATTAATAAAATGAACACATTAAATAGATGATATGTGATGAAGTATTAATTGACACGATACTGGAAAATAGACTGATCTTCAAGCTAGAAAGAATGAAGCCCAAAAAAAAATACTCAATCAAACCTAGTTACATCGATTTAATAACAAATAGTCTAAGAAATACTTTAGGAAACTCTTGATAGCATTATTATTGACAATAACAAAACTGGATATGTTTTTGTTGCTAAGATATCAGGAAAAGCCCAGAGTCAGCATATTGCGATCCCATTATAAAATTAAATATATCCATTGCTATTCTAATTGTCGCTATTTTTTAATAGAAAACTACGTATTGAACATCAGCATCACGGTGCCATTGTAATGATATTTCTGAATCATAATCTAAGTGTGTAACTTGTGGAAGTGTACATTGAAAAGGAACCTCACTGTAAAAAATCGATGTATTACTAGTAGACCGGTATAGACCGGTATAGACCGGTAGACCGGTATAGACCGGTAGACCGGTAT